TAAATTTCTCTCGACTAATCGGGATATCTCCAAGTACGACATCCGCTTTGGTTCAAGAGCCATTCGCATAAGTTTCCCTCGTCTAGTCGAATTATTTCCAATTCCGAAAGCTGAATTTGTTCGAAAAGCATACACATAACTTTCCCCTAATAGCGGAAATATTTTCATGTCCGAACGTCGGATTAGTTCTCGTATCACTCGCAAAGCTTTCCCTCGACCAAATAGAATATTTCCAAAACCGACAGTCACTTTGGTTCTTAAGACACTCGCATAACTTTCCCTCGACTAGTCAGAATATTTCAAAGTCAAACTACCGTAATCGTTCGGGAGGCACTCTATAAACTTTTGCCGATTAGTCGGAATATTTCCATGCCCAAAAGTCGCATTGGTTTACTAGGTACTTGCATATCTTTCTGTCGACTAGTCGCGAAATCTCCAAATCCAGTCGTCGCATTAGTTCAACAGTTACTTGCGTATCGTTCCTTCGGCTATTCGGAATATTTCCAAGTCCAACCGTCTTGAATCGGTTTTATTATTATTTATTAGTTATTAGTTCTAGAATCGCTCGCAAATCTTTCCCTCGATTAGTACTAATATTTCCAAGTGCTACATTCGCTTTGGTTGTAGTGGAACTCCCATAAAGTTCGCCCACTAGTCGGAATATTAACAGAAATACAGCCGCATTTGTTCGAAAGGCACTCGCGTAACTTCTCCGACTAGTGGAAATATTTCCTATTCCGACCGTCGCATTGGTTCGAATGTAACTCGCATAACATTCCCTTGACTAGACGGAATATTTGAAAGCCCGAAAGTCACATTGGTTTTCTAGTCACTCGCATAACATTCTCCGTCTAGTCGGAAAATTACCTAGTCCGACAGCCGCATTTGTTCGAGGGCCACTTGCATAAAATTCACTTGACCACTGGGAATATAACAAATTCCGACGGTCGCTTTTCTTCACGAGTCACTCGAATAATTTTCCTTCGACTAATCACAATATATGCAAGTCCAACAGCCGAATTGGTTCGGGAGGCACCTGCATAACATTTCCCCGACTAGCCGGAACATTTCCAAGTCCAACTGACGCATTGGTTTACAATACACTTGCATAACTTTCCCACGTCTAGTAGTAATATTTCCAATTCCGAAAGCAGCATTGGTTCGAAAAACACTTTGTTATATTTCCAACGACTAATCGGGATATTTCCAGGACCGACCTCCGCATTGGTTCCAGAATAACTCGCGTAGATTTCTCAAGTCTTGTCGTAATATTTCCAAGTACGAAAGCTGCATTGGTTAGAGAAGCACACGCATAAATTTCCTTCGACTAGTCTGAATATTTCCAAGTCCGACAGCCGCATTGTTCGAGAAGCACTCGCATAAGTTTCTTTCGATTAGTCGGAATATCTCCAAGGTCGACAGCCGCATTGGTTCTAGAGTCACTCGCATAATTTTCCCTCGACTTGTCAGAATGTATTCAAGACCGACAGCGGCATGTGTTCGAATGGCACACGCATAACTTTTCCCGAATAATCGGAATATTTCCAAGTTCTACAGACAAATTGGCTCGAGAGTCACGCGCAAAACTTTCTTTTGACTAATCGGAATATTTCCAAGCATGAAAGTCGCATTGGTTTACAAAACACTCGCATAAAATTTCCTCGAATAGTCGGATATTTCCAAATCCGATAGTCGCAATGGTTCAAAAGACACTCACATAACTCTCCCTCGACTAGTCAGGATATTTCAAAGTTAGACAATCGCATTGGTTTATAAGTTAATCGCATTACTCTCCCTTGACTAATCTGAATGATTACAAATCCGACAACTTTCCCTCACCCAAGAGGGATATATTCAAGTCCGACCGTCGCATTGGTCCCAATGTAATTCGTATATCATTCCCTCGACGAGTCGGAATATTTCCAAGCCCATTAGTTGCAGTGTATCGAGGAGCACTCGCATAACTTTCCCACGGCAAGTCGGAATATTTCCAAGTCCGACAGCAGCATTTGTTCGAGAGGCACTCGCTTAACACTCCCTCGACCAATGAGAATATTCACAATTCCGACAGCTACTTTGTTTCACAAGTCACTCGAATAACATTTCCTCAGATAGTAGGAATTATTCCAAGTACGACATTCGCTTTGGTTCGTGTGGCACTGGCATAAAGTTCCCTAGACTAGTTGGAATATTTCCTAGTCCGACAAATTCATTTGTTCGATAAACATTGGAATATCGTTCCCCGACTTGAGGGAATATTTCCAAGACAGACCGTCGCATTACTTCTAGAATCGCTCGCAAAAATTTCCCTCGACTAATACTTCCAAGTCCAACAGTTTCATTGTTTCTGGAGGTACTTGCAAAAATTTCGACTCGTTGGATCATTTCCAAGCCGAAAGTTACATTGGTTAACATGACAATCGCATAAATTTTCCTCGGCTAGACGAGATATTTTCATGTCCGACCAACGTATTAGATCTAGAATCACTCCCTCAAATTTCCCTCCAGTAGTCGTAATATTTACAAGCCCGACAGTCGCATTGATTCAAAAGGCACTCGCATAAAACTCTCTCTGTTCTAGTCGGGATATTTTCAATACAGAAATTCGCATTGATTCGAAATTAACTCTCAAAATTTTATCTCGACTAGTTCAGAAAGCTGCATTGGTTTGAGATGCACTCGCATGACTTTCCTTCGACAAGTCGGAATATTACCAATTCGCACCGTTTCCTTGGAGCACAGTTCACACGCATAAAATTCCCTCGTCTAGTCGGGATATTTCTCAGTCCGACAGTAGCTTTGGATCACAATTCCCTTGCATAACTTTCCCCGACTAGTCGGAAATATTTGGTAAAAGTCCGATAGTTGCATTTGTACGAGAGGAACTCGCATAACTTTCGCTCGACTTGTCGAAATATTTCCAAGTCCAACCGTCATATTGGTTTGAGAGGCAGTCGCATAACTCTCCTCGACAAGTTGGAATATTTCCGAACCCGACAGTTGCATTGGTTGAAGGTCACTCGCATAATTTTTCCTCGACTGGTCGGTATATTTTTAAGTCAAACAATCGCATTGGTTCACAAATATTTCGCATAACTCACCCTTGATTAGTCAGGATATTTTCAAGTCAGAATGTCACATAGGTTGACAAGTTATTCTCATAAATTTCCCTCGACTAATCGGAATATGCCTAAGTACGACAATCGTATTGGTTCAAGAAGCACTCGCATAACGCGCCCTTCACCATGTGTGATTTCTCCATTTCTGACAGCCGCATTGTATCGAGAGTGTCTCGCATAACTTATCTTCGAATAGTTGGATTATTTCCAAGTCCGACAGTCGCATTTGCTGATTTGCTGAGAGAACTCTTATAACTTTCCCCCGACTAGTCGAAATACTTCAAAGACGGACAGCCACATTGTTTTGAGAGGCACTCGCGTAACTTCCTCCGACTAGGCGGGATATTTCCAAGTCCGACAGTCGCTTTAATTCACAAGTGACGAGCATAACTTTCCCACAATTATTCCGAATATTTCCAAATCCGACAGAAGAATTGGCCCAATAGTCACTCGGATAAGATTCCCTCGATTAGTCGGACTATTTCACGTCCGGCAGTCGAATCGGTTCACAAATCACTCGCAGTCCTTTCCCTCGACTATTCGTAATGTTTCCTAGTCTGGCAGCCGTATTGTTTCAATAGGCAATTACAAAAATTTCCCTTGACTATTCGGAATGTTTCCAAAAAAAGGCTGCCGCATTGGTAAGAAAGGCACTCGAATAACTTTTCCTCGACTAGTCATAATTTTTCGAAGACCGTCATTCGCATTGGCTCACAAGTCACTCGCATAATTTTCCCTTGACTAATCAGACAATTTTCAAATCCGATAGCCGCTGTGATTTGTGAGGCAGTCGCATAAATTTATTTCATCTAGTTGGAATATTTCCAATTTCGACCTTGCTTTGGTACACAAGTCACTAGCATAACTATACTTCGACTAGTCGGAATATTACAAAGACCAACAGTAGCTTTGTTTCGAGTGGCACTCGCATAACTTTTACCCGAAAAGGCGGAATATTTCCAAGTCTGACTTTCACAATATTTCGAGAGGCACTCGTATATCTTTCCCTCGTCTGGGCGGAATAATTTCATGTCCGACAACCGCAATGATTGGAGAACCATTCGCACAAATTTCCCTCTACTATTCGGTTGGTGCGTATGAAATGTCGGATTTTCTTTAAATGTGAACGCTTGATTCCCTGTTTTTGTTATGCATTTGTTTTTAACATAACCTGGTTTATAGTCGTACTGTCCATTGCCAGAGTCACATTTTAGAACATTTTTTCAAAAATGTTCCCTTTTGTTATTTGCTTTGAATTTTGTACCGATATGAATTCAACCGATATTCGTGTAATTTTCTTATATGAGTATAAACTTGGTAAATAATGCTGCAAAAGCTGTACGCAATATAAACCAGGCGTTTGGAGAAAATATTGTGAACGATCGAAAAGTGCAGCGTTGGTTTGAAAAATTTCGGTCTGGTGATTTCTCCCTGCAAAATGAACCACGTGGAAGACCCGAAACGTCTCTGAAAAATGATGCTCTGAAAGCATTGGTGGAAACGAATCCAATTGTTTCTTCAAGGGAACTTGCTGCCAGAATGGAAGTTGACCATAAAACAATATTGCGACATCTTTCTGAAATTTGCATGGTGAAAAAAATGGATAAGTGGATACCGCACGAACTAACCGAGCGAAATAAGCTGGATCACTTGAACGTATGCTTATCATTGCTAACCCGATTTAATCGAAATCCATTTTTCGATCGGATCATTACTTGTGATGAAAAATGGGTTCTTTACGACAATAGAAAAAGGTATGCTCGGTGGCATGATAGGGATAAGGCTTGTGCTCATATTCCATCACTTCATCCACGGAAAATTTTAATCACAGTTTGGTGGAATGTGACTGGAATAATACACTACTAATTCCTTCGAACTGAAATGACAATTACAGCCGAAAAGTATTGTCAGTACATTGAAGAAATGCATGAAAAATTGAAAATTAAACGCCCATCACTTGTTAATCGGCATGGCCCAATACTTCTCCACGACAACGCTCGGCCGCAAACATCGTACAAAATAATTGCAAAATTAAATGAATTAAAATATGAAATTTTGCAGCACCCATCTTATTCACCAGATCTTTCGCCAATCGACTTTCATTTATTTAAACATTTAGAACTGTTTTTACGTGCTAAACAGTACGAAAATGAAGACAGTGTGAAAAATGCCATATCAGAGTTCATTGATTCTAAAGATCAGAATTTCTTCAAGACAGGCATCTATGCATTAAAATCTCGTTGGGAAAAGTGTATTTAAGTAAATGGAGCATATTCTGATTAAATAAATAGCTTTTGGAAAAAGATATGCAGTTTAATATATTCACTCAAGAAACCGACAATTCATTCGCACCAAACAAATATTACCTTCCTTATGACTTGCAGAAAAAATCTGGAATCCTCATCGGAAAATATTAAATGAAGTCTTTCTTAAAAAATATCTAAACTCTCAAATGGATGTAATCGTTAATCATTCTGTCGTTTTAATGGAAAAATTGGAAACTTTAGTTGGAGAAGAAATAGACGTTTGCCATTACGTCTTTCGCTGTACATTAGACATAATATATGGTAACATTTCGAAATTTTATAAACGTTTACATTCGTTTTTAGGAATTTATAATATTTTTGTTACATTCCTTATTCAAAGATAGTCTACTTGATACTCAAGTAAATTCACTGACCGATGAGAATTGCAAACTAGATGAATCAATTCATTGGTAATACTACTAAATTTTATACTATATCAAATATTTTATTTTTCATTTATAATTCCTGTTTTGTTTTCTTCCTCAGTTTGATGAATATAACTGTGCAAAGGATATTTAAAATATGGTTACAACCGAATATAATTTTTCGTAATACTGCTATGGGGAAGAAATTTCACACATGTGCATCCTACCTGAATAACTATGCAAGCAATGTATATTTATGACATACATTTTGTTAATCCATCTTATTTCTTTTTAACAATCAAAAATTTAAGTATTATATTTTATTTATAAATATATATTATTTTTTGTTTGGAAAGATAATCAAAGAAAAAAAGGAATCCATGTTAAGAAGCATCATTAACCAGGAACTGAAAGAGGAAAATTCAGGTAAAAGTAATTATTATACACGCAACCCAATTTTACTTTTCGTTTATTTTTTAAATTAATAGAAAATCATTATTTATTTTTCAAGAACAAAGACCCAGGAGACTTTTAGACTATTTATTCGAGTCATCGCATGAAGGAAGAAAATATTCAGAGCAAGATATTAGAGACGAAATCAATACTATGGTTATTGCGGTAATTCATATTTATTACTCCGTTGCATTTATTACAAATTTTGTTGGTTGAATAAAATTGGAGAAAAGTGTTTATTTCTTTTCAGGGAAGTGATACTTCAGCTGTCACTATTAGCTTTGTCCTTCTAATGCTTGCTACATTTCCGCATATTCAAGTACGTACATATTACACATACTTAATTATTTCCATTATTTAAAAAACGCACATTATTTTTACATTATCATTTCATCATCTTTTTCAAAAAGAATGAAGTATACGACGAACTATACCAAATTTATGGCTCGAGCGATCCGAGATATGTTCCAATAACGCACGACGATATTGCAAGAATGAAACTTTTGGAACGAGTGATCAAAGAAACATTACGTCTTTATCCGCCAGGGCCAATCGTTGCTCGGAATGTTACGCAAGATATAGAAGGTACTTTAATATATAAAATAATAACTATTATATGTCTTTATCGTTAATAATACAGGTTATTTAATAGTAATATTTATATGTTATTTATATCAAGTGGAAAAAAATTTGACTATACCGAAAGGAAGTACCGCGGTGTTCTTCATCTATAAAACACATCGTAATGAAAAATATTGGCCACAGCCATTATTATTCGATCCGGATAGGTTTCTACCGGGTAGGAATAGTTCGGCATGTTTTTTTCCATTTAGCTACGGAAAAAGAAATTGCATAGGTAATTATTATGTAATTAAATATAAGCGTACGACTTATAAACAATAGAAATTACTTTCCGTAAAGTTATATAAAATGCATCTAAACATAGATTTCATATTTTTTAGGTCAAATATTCGCTATGCTAGAAATGAAGATAATAATTACGACCTTGATAAGAAGATTTATTATTAAAATAGATCAGCCAAAAGCAATTGAAGAAATTTCGATAAAAATGGATGTTACGTTAAAGCCAGCGAAACCTATAAGATTAAAATTTGAAAGAAGAAATTAATTAAAATGGGTAATATTTATAAATGTAACGCATGTATAATTAACATACATACATGACTAATTCTGTGCGCGATAGTAGATAATCTGCTGCATAAGTAAATTGTTAACTGTATAAATTAATTATTGTACAAATTCTATAAAAAGATCTCATTATTTCATGCAATTTTACATAATAAAAAACCATTGATAAAGACATTTAATATCATTCTTATTGCTCATACCAAAATTTCTATAAATTAGTTTTTATAAAGAATAGTAAAAATTCTAAAATGCATTCTTATAAATTCTTGTTATCAATTGATAACGATTTTTGATACCAATTAACTCTTTCTCAACGAAAGACATGCCACTATACGTCCTAAATTGTGCGGACAAATTATTAACATTCTCTTAATCGAGATTTGGATGATTGGAATGAGTGAAATATAATGATATAAATATAAATTTATATTATAATATCTCCGAGAAGACGTTTCGTTAAAAAATATACTGTCCATAAGATTATTTCATATTTATTGTCAACGAAACAACAGAATCCGTCTGTAAAAAAGATTTCTTCTTGTTTACATACATTACTTTATAACTGCTAATTAAAGAAATCGTTAAGAAGAAACCTGATGAATTAATGAAGTCTTCCTGTAAGAATGTGCACAACATCATCCAAATCTAATTGCTTAGTAGGAAAAGTGGAATAGAGCGGGAAAAGGAGAAATACTTAGATGATGAGAGAGCGACTGTGTGAGATGGCTGTAGTGATAGAGTGAGAGAGAGAGAGAGAGAGAGAGAGAGAGAGAGATAAAATAGGAATGACAAAAATATAGAGATGTACATATGACCAACATACCACAATTATGTACCAACGATTGATATCTAGTTGTTTTCCTTCTCAGGGGTTCTGGACATGAGCGTAATTCCTCTTATTCATGGAATCTTGTCTTGAAACAATGTAATTATGGAATGTTTGTATTCTTTCTCTCTCTCTCTCTCTCTCTCTCTCTACCCCTCTCTCTTAAATCAGAATACTTAGGTCGAATATATAAATTCTTCCATCAGACACGAATAGACAAGGTGACCACTGTATCTCTTTTTAATGGACCTATCCACATCTTACATGCTGCTATACAAAATACTTTTAGTATAGAAAAATATAATTACATATTGTCCAATTATCGAAACGAATCGAATGAAACAAACAAATGCACACATGCAATGGCATGATCGGGTCATGATTGAATTCAGGAATTTTAGATTGCTAAATGCTCTTCGAGCGAAAGTCGAAGAAAGCCTTAACAATGACTTATATATTCAACCATCTGTTTCAACAATTAACTGTCGCAAATAGCTGCTGTAAGCAATCTATCACAAAATTAGTACGCGACTGTTTCATTCAGAGTTTATCGACTCGTCCAGTTCAAAGAATTATAGGAAATGATCATCGTTTTATGTTGCATTCTACATAAATCATTATAATGTATAACGTATTTATACCATTATTAAAATCTGATAAATTGGTCAACATGATTTTTATGTTTTCTAAAGTATCTCCACATGTTCTATTTCAATGTTTCGATCATCGCAAGAAGGAAAGAGAAGAACGCTAAGCATTCGTTATTAGATAATGTTTAAATTTTCACGTGTGAAAGCTACGACGCAATAACCAAAATCCACAGAAAGAAAACTACTCGATATGTTCTGTGCCAATTGTCGGTGATTGTATGTTTAGTTATCTTGATACCATTGCTTTTTCTTCCTCTTATTTCTTATCTCCGTCATTCTATTTCTCTCTCATGCACTAACACACACAGCAGCAGATTAAATATTTTTGTTTGCCGAATAAAAATATTCGTACAAACTGGCCATTACACTGAAAATACGTTTATTCATCTGGTACAAGCCTAATGCATCGGTCATCATCTAGATTGTTTTCATTGGGTATTCGTGTTTATTAATTACACTTGTTCTAATAAGTAATTCTATTAGAAAATTTAATGAAAAATTTCAATAAGTGTGTCATCAATTAAAACCAATTCCGGATTGAAATATATCAAAATCATACAAATCGAAGGAACGTTTAGTGTCACTTTGCACGGCTATAAAATATAGTTTACGTTTTAGCAATTTTATTTCCTGTCTATATATTTTCATACCATTTCAGTCGAAGCAAGGACGCGTAAATATACATCTTTGATACTCAATTGAGTACTCTAACACAATGATAATGGAAAACTCGCATCCATTTATTTGCTTCGTAATTGTTTTTTTTTACTATAAAATAACCGAAAATTGGATACTAGTTCACTTTGAATATTCGCTAACAATCATATATTATTTAATGTAAATTTGGCATCAGGTTCATAGAATCAAAGGTAGCCGTAAATTTTATTATCAAAATCAATTCAGACGAATCATAAAAACGTCTATTGATTGATATACATATGCATGCACACGTAGATGAGAGTGAGAAAATGTATAACGATATATGAGGGAAGAACAAGGAAATTAGAGAGAAAAAATGACGGAGAGAGAGAGAAAGAGACATGTATGCCAAATGAAATATACAAAAGATAAGTGCTAGATAAAGGCGATGACGACAAAGATAACACACTGTCTCTTAGACAGAAAGTGAATAAAATTCCAAAAGAGTCAAAAAATTTATCTAAGAAAATATCGGTATATTAAAAGCGTATTCAAAATGACCGGTAAATGTTATATACAAAATTCTACATTTAATATCTCACATTCTTGTAGCTGAATAGAAGATATTTCGAAAATGTTACTAATTCACTACTTTCTTGCCCAAATCAAAGTTGATGGGCCGCTATATAGAAAAATCGACTGTGCAACTTTTATGCTCGAGTACCGGTTTTAATAGTAGTGCTGATATTACTGTAAAAGACAAATCTTATTAAAGGAAAAATAATTAGTGAAAAAATATTTTATTATAGTACTATGAAATATCATGAATTCAACTACATTTGCATATAATAAAATAGGGGGTCCATTAAAAATTTTTTTGGTTCCCTTGACTTATCTAATATATAAAATTTATTTGCATTTGTAGGAATTTAATATAATTTTATTACACTTTTTATCGAAAGATGATAATCAGGATGCGCATATATTGGGGTGTTCGGAAAGTAATTTCGTTTTTTCCCGACAGAGGATTTAATTGTATTTTGCATCAAACTTCACACTTAAGCCGCATAAACATTATACATTTTGAAAGCTTATATAGTAAGGCTTGTGTGTGAAAAAGTCCAATTGATTCTAAGCAATAGTTTTTGGTTGGCTCCCCTTTTAAAAATGGGGAGCAATAAGCAGCATTTTCGTCATATTTTACTTTTTTACTACAGAAAAGGTAAAAATACTGTTTAAGCCAGAAAGAAATTAACCGATGTGTATGGAGAAGATGTGTTGACAGTACGCCAGTGCCAGAACTAATTTGCAAAATTTCGATCTGGCAATTTTGATGTCGAAGATGCACCACGCTCTGGAAGTCAGGTTGAAGCTGATAAAGACACGATAAAAGCATTAGTTGATGCAAACCGACGAATAACAACACGTGAGATCGGAGAGAGATTAAATTTATCAAATTAAACTGTTTATGACCACTAGGTTTAACCTCGAATCTCGATATATGGGTTCCCCATAATCATCTCACGGAGAGAAATTTGTGTCGTCGCGTTGACGTCTGTGATTCGCTTCTCAAACGTCACGAAAATGATCCATTTTTGGAGCGCATCATTAGTGGGGATGAAAAATGTGTTGTATATAACAATGTTAAACGCAAGCGATCATGGAGCAAAAAAGACGAACCGACTCAAAGCATTTCCAAAGCCAATATCCATAAAAAAAAACTGATGCTGTTTGTTTGGTGGGATTTTAAAGGAATCGTTTTATTTTAAGATTTTACCGGATAACAAAACAATTAATTCGGAAGTCTATTGTCATCAGCTGGACAAACTGAATGATGCACTTCAACAGAAAAGGTCAGAATTAATCAACAAAAAAGGTCAGAATTAATCATCACAAAAGATGTAGTGTTCCACCAAGATAATGCGAGACCTCATCTAAGTTTAGTCTCTCGCCAAAAGCATTTACAGCTTGAATGGGATACAATGCCACACTCACCATATTCTCCAGATCTGGCACCTTTGGATTATTATTTGTTCCGGTCACTGCAAAATTTTTGTAGACGGTAAAACCTTCACTTCAAATGAGGAGATCAAAAACCACCTCGATCAGTTTTTTGCCAGCAAAGACCAAAAATATAATGAACGTGGAATCATGCTACTACCAGAAAGATGGCAAAAGGAATTGGACCAGAATGGCCAACATATAATTTAATAAAATATTTGTTCATTATACAAAAATTGTCTTTCATTTTCACAAAAAAAAAAAACGAAATTACTTTCCGAACAACCCATTAAATTGACTGACAAATCCGAATTTCAAATTAGCTGGATCTATAAAACGGTAATAATGATATATCTTTTATATTCGTAATGTTCTGTATGTATTTATAATATTTTTTCTTTTCTCATTCAATGGGATGGATATAGTTGCCCAAAAGGAAATTCTGTAAATTCTAATCGTATAAACTCTATCGAAACGAAAAGTATTCGACCCAATTGTTACTATTCAATGCGGATAGATTTTTACCAAATATGCATATCAAATATCTTACTATTCAAAGCATATCAAAATTCTTACTATTTGGCTACGAGAGAAGAAATTCCACAAATAATTATAAAGTCTTGTATATTATTTTAATAGCATATCATAAATTTATAGAACAAAATACATTTACAATTCATTTTATTCTTTACTTAACATCAAAAATTCTCTATATCATTTAGACAGTATAAGAATCGATCGAGTTGGACTAAGAGTGAAATAGAGTCCGGTAGGATTGTGTTGTGATTTTAAGTTATAGTATCGAATTATAAATTCACCTTGCACCCAATTATTCTTGTTTGACATTTTGATTTCTTTCCCATTTGGAATAGACTTTCTAGTTCTATTTTCTGATAAGCAATTTTCCAATATTATATTTCGAGAAAATGAAGAAAGTAGAATCTCGGCTTGAGCCGCGTACATTTCTTGATATAAGACAAAACAAAATTGTGAAGCACAAAATTGTTATCGTTAATTCTCTGAAATAATACCGAGAACTTTCGAAAGTCCGATAAAAAATTAATATAAATATGAAAAAAAGTAGCCAAGTCTGTACGTATATTAGTTACAATGAGTTAGACCGTGGCGGCTAAATCGTAAGTCTGTGATATGAACAAAATCATTATTATAGGCATCGTATAAAAAATAGAAAACTGTCTAGAAAAATACAGCAACCCTTATACCGAAATTTATTACAGTGCTGAAAAAGATTAAATTGCCCAAAGAGAATGTAGCTGTCTTCATAATGTCTGGTCGATTCAATAAATTAAGAAATATTTGTCATGATACGCGATCGTTCTGGTCACTATTCACAATAGTTGAGCACTATAATTTAGTAAATCTGTTTAATCACTTAGTCTATGACATACATATATAATACTTTAATGCTAATTTTGTTATAATTAAAGATACTGTAGGCATGCGATGTTCACACGTAAGGCTAGATACGTGTTTCTATATAGCCTTTAATAACTTACTCTTTTTTACGCTACCTGTATACAACGTCGTAATGTCTTGAAATACAAACGAGATATGGGTACTTTATACATGAATTTTCTTTCATTCGCGTACCAATAAAGAGAAAGCAATTTTTCTTATCGGCTTCGCATCTCTTGCTCCTCTTTTTTGTACGGTGACCATTCACTGTCGTCTAATCGTCATGTGATTGCAAATTATAGTCTAATATATACACATATTTAAATACATATATATGTTTTTCCCTCAAATATATACCTTTCTCAATCTTACATTGTATTTATGTTAGAGTACTGGTAGCGGATAAGGAAGTATATATGTATTGCATATATGAGGACTGTACTTTTCGAAAGTATGATTTTCATAAAATAAGATTTTTATATGTCATATCTACTATCTCAATACATGCAATCTTCCAAATTTCGTCATAATCAGACATCAGTACTTATGCAGGAACTACAGCCAAAATTTCTAACAATATTACCTTCACAAAATTATCAGATTAATTATTATTAATAGCTAATGTTAATTGTTAATTACAATTAATTATTAAATTATTAATAAAAATTAAATGGAGATAAATTATTAAATTTAGATATTAATAATAAATTTAGATATTATTAATAAGATATGGATACTTTATACTTGAATTTTCTTTCATACGCATTTATATATCTCTTGTACGAAAATTTTTTAATCTGATAATCTAAAATAGTAATTAATACGAACTGATTTAAGATAATTATTATTTATGTATGTTTTCATTAACATCAAATACAAACGATAAGAAGGACAAAAATCTATTGGATCCTTCGATCATCGATTATACGCATACGTTTGAAAATTGAATGCGATATTCAGATAGTGATGAAACAAATGCGTATCAACGTCGTATTTAATTTGGATCATTGCGAGACCTACATGATCATCTAAAAAAGATCTACATTCGGAGATCTACATTCAGAGAGACTGAAAAATGTGAGATCACAGTTTATTGACATTACTTACTCTACCTAATCGAAACCCATTAATTTGTTACGACAAATACTATTATTGAATAGACGCATGGCGGGGGCAGCCATAATTACTTTCACTTGTAGTTGATATTTTGTCCATACTTGTCGCCGTAATCACGAACGCTTCCTTCGAAAGGTTTCCGAGTTCTGTTTTTAAGGTTAATATTTCTTTTTATTTTTGTAGAATAACGTATTCTTTGATTGTTTTAAGATAAGGCATTTATTGCTTCTTATATATCGTATTATGCATTATTTATGTCATTTATTTAATGAACCTTTCTGTAGGTTTTCGGCGTTGAAACCAAAATTAGCATGTTGAAAGTTTATTAAATGATATTCGTTTGTAGAAACTAAAAACTAACCTCTGAATATGAGTTTAATCGAAAGCTTTTAACTTAAATAAGAAATCAAGAAATAAAGCGGATCAAATTATTTTTAATGTAAAGCATAACAACTTGAAAAAGCTGGTACTGAAGTTACGGAACTTTTCCATTATATTATCCGTTCTAATTAATTGATTTTATTAATAGTACTAGTTACTCTTAATGATTATTTTTATTAATTTTTATTTCCAAAAAACATTTTATTTTAAATGGACATTTAGTAAGACGTTTTTACATGGTATGAAGTAGTGTTACAAGTGAATGAAATATATTTATCATTGAAAAAAGATCAGAATAAAGTCTAGAAAATAATATTGTTAAAATGTGAAAGTTCCAGAAGATTTCTAGAAAGAATAATAACGGATTTGAGTCACTATCTTGCAGAGAATTAATAAAATATTTGGAAAAGATTATCCTTTTAATTGGTAATATTTTAGCATTGGTATATAGTTTATCAGCAAGCAAAGTAAAATTTAATAAATATTCCTGTTATCGCAAGTTTTTTTCTTTCTTTCCTATTAAAAAAATATGATAAATGATAATGACTTTATTATTATTATTATTATTATTATTATTATTATTATTATTATTATGTGAAATATTTTAATCAAAAGTGTATTTTTTTCTTATTTTCAAATTATATCAATGTATGGCTGTAATGTGCAATGTTTCAGAAATGGCCAACCATTGATGCTCAGCAATTTGTTACTTTTTAGAACAAAGGATGATGACATCGATCCAGAAATGTATCATTATGCACTAGATTATTACTATGCTAAGGAAATGAACGTAACAGAAGAATATTCCATTGTGCAATAGATTGGACTGACTTTCAATTGGTATGTACCAAGAGTCTGTGTTTTCATCTCGATTCTGACTTATGTTCCCTCTGGTAATTATTAGGTCCTCAACGAGAATGTCGCCATTATATGATCATGCCTCAACACCGTTCAAACCTCCATGATCACTGGATTTTCATTGAACAAGAACGTGTTTATTATTCGTATGGAATTAGGAAAGAAAAATATCTTAGGATTCAGGAATATCATTCGATAATATATATTCGTCAGGTAGTCGATGATTTCTCTATCGAAATTATATTCATTATGAATGCAAAGATTGAGAGAAGCAAGAGAACTATTCTAGAGATCATCGGAATCATCTTAAGGGACATAGCTGCATTAAATATGTAGAGATGAAAAGAGAGTAAATTTATCCTATCGAATCTGCTAGTCTAATAACAATCCTAAAGGAGAAGAAAAGCAGTTTATTACAAATGATGCTTAGAGAGAATTGTCACTGAAGATTGTGTGGAAGCCAATGTTAAAAAAGCTCATGTTGGTCAGTTTTGTTTCATCAACCATACGGAACATATTTTCTGCTAATTTAATGTGGAGATAGGTTTGTTTCATGGTAGTAGAACGATCGTTGATGAGAGAAGAATAAGATTTGGACCATGTTCTTGTATCAATCTTGCTGTGGCAATCTATTCTCACACGTACGTTTATCTATTAAATGGACCAATTTAGCAGTAGATGCTTTGGTAAGTAAATGTATCGTCGAGCAGTGCAAATATATGAATATCTGAAAAACATAATAATCATTATAGTAATCATCCATCAGTTAAGATTTCTGTGTTTCCAGTTTCCAAGTTTTTTATGGAAAAGAAGAAAACATGCTAAAGCATCATCGAAGATTCGAGAGATTGATATCTATAATAACGATATTAGGAAGCCTTAACCAAAGCATTGGCTTATTTTTTGAGATTTTTATTTGACGATAAATTGAACGATTGGAACGAATAAATGATTATATTTATTACAATACTAGTATCAGGTTTTTCATTAACTAATTATTTATCATATTATGAACAAAAGCTCGATCACTGAATACATGACAAGCCATCGTTTTAATATCTATAGCATTAAACGCCGAGAAAATTTTCATCAGCGAATTCGACAATTATATTTTTTGTTTTCTTTTTCTTTTTTTAAAGAGATTGGTATTATTACTTAAAAACATTTTTCTTGTCGATAGGCCTCAGTGTAGCTTGGCCCTATTCGAAGGATATGCCAATCGTTTATTTCGGCAAAATGTACGGGTAGTTGAATTAAAAGAAGTAAGCGAATAGATGATTGCCGGATTGTATTCTCGAATATCTGAAGGAGGAATGAATTAAAGAGTCAACTGAAGGTTCAATTCGTTTAACGTGTATGATTCTTTCGATCGTTAGGAACAAAGTAGGAATTAGTTTTATTAATTACAGTTGAACCTTTCTAACATATAATAAAATAAAAGCTGTTATCAACGAAAAACTGAAAATCGCATTTCTTCAATAACTATCATCTTAAAGTGGAGAAAATGATACTATTGTAAAGAGAATGAAAAAACGTTTCAAATGATATGCCTCTCGGCCCCTTTGGCCATTTAGGATTTTTAAGGTGGTTCTCATCCCCTTAGGAAGTTAGCCTAAAGAAAAATCGATTTATGATAAGGACTTAACCCCCTGAAGACAATATTGACCAGATCTGACGTTTTTTGAAAAGGTCATTAGATTTCATAATAATCCTGGTTAACACTTTTCGTTTGGACACTCTGTATATATATGTAGGTTACATAGGATGATCAATATCTTTCCCTTTTTATCATTTTGTTTTTCTTCATGGTCCTTGTGTCCTTATGGTCGTTTTCTGTTATTAAAAGTATTTTATTTTAATGACTAGTATTGAAATAAATAAAATATATAATGTGCCATATATAATGCATCGAAAGGATTATTAAAATGAGATAAATTTTTCGTCCTGAATGTTTTGTAATAAAGTTTTCTTGTGCGATTCGTCTTCACAGTGATTTTTAAGAGAAAGGAAAAGGACACATAAGATAACAATATTATTAGAACAGTAAGCAGACAAAGATTCTTTATTGCATAATCCGAGTTACCACTTGGAATATGTCGAATCGATATAAATAACTGATGTTAGAAAAATAATTTGACATGATTTGCTTCAATTATTGATTATTACGTAAATACGTATGATAATTTATATATGGTTATTACATATATTTACATATTACTTCTTTCTCTTATTCCATCTCTCTTTCTCTCTCTCTTTCTCCGTCCCTCTCTCTTTCTCTATCTTTTAACAATAATTAATAAATGCTATTCATCAATCGACCGATTTGTATTAGTTTATATTTAAATTTGATTCCACACATTCTTACAGAAGCATTTCATTAATTTACCAGTTTTCTTCTTAATGATCTCTTTAATTGGTGTTAGAAGTAATGGATAAATAGAATATGAGATTTCCTTTTTCTGAATAGATAGTAACATGATTATGGTTTATTTTAAATAATAAAATGTAAATATTTACAATAACAAATGACAAAGACTTACTTACAGAGATATATTCTTGGTAATGCAGTTGTCCTTTACTTCCATCAATTTACGTGATTCAAATTCCGTCCAATTCTTAATTTCGATAAATTCATTCGAAAATCGATCGTTCGAAGCGCTGTCGAATTGAAAGTTCTTCGGTACATATTATTTATAGCACACACACACACACACATACATTTTATATATATATATTACGAAAATGTATTTTTATTTACACGTTAAACATATATAAATTTATATCTCTTCATGAGATATTTATTGTATTTATTATATTTCAGGGAGCTATAAGTTCTTCGGTTGTACTAATCAAATCATTCTGACTTTACTTGCTGATGTCTGATGTCATTAATCTCTGAAATTATAGAACTTCGTTTGCAGGAACGATATAAAATCAACTATATTACCACTTCAAAAAATGCAATAACGCCAGCATTGCGGCATAAACAGTGCGTAGTTTCGCAACATATTGCGAAATAAACCATTTACTGGCTTTAAACTAAAATTGTCAATCGTTAAAAAAAGAATCGTTAGAAAAATAAATAGTTGATTTTATTAAAATAAAATACAATATCGATAGGGAATACAATTAAAATATTTTAATTTTCAAAAATTTACCTTTTTCCTTGGATGAAAATTTGTGATAAAAGCAAATCGGTAAAAAAAAACAAGCAAAGATAACAAGTAACGTTATATATTGCATTCATAATACGTACATCCAAATCCTCTAAAATTCCACTTGACTGCCTAATAAATGGAATTCACGTACTTGCGTTGTACATCTTCGATCTCTCTCTCTCTCTCTCTCTCTCTCTCTCTCTCTCTCTCTCTCTCTCTCTCTCCTTCTTTCACTATATCCTTCTTCTATCATCTCTTTTTCTCCTTGTCGCTCTTTCTCACTCGCGACATAAGTGATTACTTTTTCCGATTGCTTTACTTGATTGCTTCTTTTATTGTTCAGAGCGCATTGTTAACAAATATAACATTAATAAATGAAAAAATTTGACTTTCAATAAAGAATTTAACAAACAAATCATATACTTTTATTGACTCTTTTATCCCTACTAACTATACAGAACTGTCGTTAAAATATTCTGGAGGGCTTGTCCATCGATTGATTTGAAAATCTCTTCAAGTCTCTTATTAATCGTTATGGCTCATTGGTACGCAGACGGCTATTAGTTTAAAACCAGTCATAATAATAAAATGTTTCTAAGCTATAAGATTAGAATCGTAGTTAGTAATACAGTATACATAGCTACGTTGTAACTAAGGTTCTAGTTTTATAAGTAGTTTCATATATTTTTAAATTTCTATTGAATATTTTTCATATTTTATATTTATATTAATGATAACGAAATTTGTGCGTAGTAATGGATAATATGTAGCTAAAATAAATATGTCCAAACTATAAAGGAGCAAAACCATTCACCAAAACTTCATTATTTAATATGATTTGATATAATTAGCAATTAATTGATATGTCTCTGCGTAATCTAACGATTGCCGGATTATATAAATTATTGATTTTTTATTCAAGTTGTACTAATAATAGTTTATTTTCCACTATCTTATATATTTCAGTCATCTTCAATGTCTATATAACTTTATCAATGTTTTCATTGCACCTTCTTTATTACGCATTTTATGTAATTAATGATATGATATTATCGTCGCGTTGAAGTTTCTTCAATAAACAGAATAAAACGCCTTCTTCATTCATTTGATCGAATTTGCGTTAATAAGCGACCTGAAGCATAAGATAATTTTAGAATTTATTAGAGAAATGAAAAACCAAATTCGAGAATTATATTTTCATAGACTGATTTCAGATTCCATTAAAGCAATGTTGTTAAAAAACAAAAAAAAGCAAAAAAAAAAATATATATATATATATACGAACTGTCTTGAGACGCTGACAATCAATAAGCATCATTAATTCTCTCTATAATAAATAATATTTCTCTGTACTTTCTGTTTTGAATTTTTAAAAAAAAAACAAGTGAGTTCGGCATACAGGCTTTCGATGGATGATATTTAACCCATATGCAATGTATTAAAACAATCGAGTATTAATAGCAATGCCGTTCAAGCCTCACTCGGAGCGAACCAGTACAATTAATGAGACACGAGAACGAAACACGTATTTCGAAACCTTTTCATTTCAATACGTGAAATATATTGTTATATATTAAAATCACGAAGTGAATATTACCGCGCATCTATCTTATAATCTCTACAGGATCTTTTCGAGAAAATGTGTTCTTCCAATAATTTATGAATACGCGTTGAGCATTATTTCGCGGAGAAAAATCGGCAGATTTCAAGCCTCGTATTGACGTTCTAGGATGAGTCGAGGATATTCTCCGAACAAATCGGCCATCAAAACTGTCCGTCTCTAATAGCCGCAAAAATGGCTAATTAAATGCCTGCCGTACACGGACGACCTGTATAATAGCTTCCCGTAATACAATATATGAATCTTTGAAGAAGATTCATGTTTACCGTTTCTCAATAAAGTACATTTATTTTTAAAACATAAATGGTAAAACAGTTATTCGTTATCGATTAATAATAAAGTATCAGTTAGCAAAGTAAATTCATATTTAAACATCAACCTGTACGGAAGAATCTTTTTAGTGACCTTCGGTAAAGTAGATTCCTTTATACCATAATATGATGTTGATTTAGGTTCTTGTATTGCCATAATTCGATGTTAAGGTACTTAATTTATTGAATGCCAAAAAGATTTGTTACAGTAATTTCTATTTAATTTTACTCGTTTTATATTTTGATGAGATAATAGGATAAAATAACAATCATTTTTTGTTAATCAGCTAAAAATATTTGATAATTGTAGAAAATCATTTTAATGATCGCACAAATAATAGAAGATATTAATATATTATTGTAAACTATTGAAACAAGAGATGCTTAAATATATTCAATTAATTATGGATTCGATCAATACCAAATGTGCATAAAAAATATAGACAAGCATAATAAAACTACTAATGAAAATTATTTATTATCACACATGGTTTTTGCAAAGGATATAACATTTTACAAAAATCTGATACGATAAACTTGTACAAAATAACTTTATCTTTCGAATATGTCTTTAATAACCAAAATCGGACAAAAATTGTGATCATTCATGGTATAATCTCTTGCAACGTATTATTAATAATCTATTTCATTTCTCATTTCTTGGAATAAAATTTGTTATTCTATGGGAAAGAGAAAAAATTATATCGTACATAAAGAATTATATTCCATATTCCATAATGATTTATAATACATAAATGTAATACAATTAAATGTTCCATAATTTAATCTTATTTTTAAATATATATATGTATGAAATGATATCCACTCGTGTTGTTATAGTACTAAACGATCTAATACATATTATGGTGTTACGTCGCAGTGGTAGGATATTGCGTCGCATATTAAAGGAATTTTATCACAAAACGAAAAATTATAACGACGGACTGGGTGTCGTGTCCGTAGAAGAAAGGAAAGAGAACCTTACACCGTACCGTCTGACCTTCCTGTAGCAATCCTGAAGGTGGATTCCACCGCTGGACCTTCAAGTCTTGAATCCTAGGACTCCGAGGTATTTGCAGATAAGGCTTCAGCATCGTCTGAAATCACTCTCCCAAGAGGTAAGAGAACGTTTGCAACGTCGCTTCGACACTCCGTTTGGTGCCGATCCCGAGGCAGAAAAACTGCCCAGGCAGGTAACGACCGAAAAGGCACGAGATCTCGCGAAAGCCGGATCTCCTTAGAAAGTTAGCTTTTGTTAAGGACCATACTCAGTGAGACGTAACAATGGTAAACAATAAGTAGAATTTACTTCCTCCAATGGATAATCACTATGCATTAACGATAATGCAATAAGTCCAAATAATGTATGAAAAGAATTAGCAATATCAGTAAGTCTATCGCCGAAGCCTCCACTATCAACATCTTGAAATTTCAAAACGTACTATACACGTAGTACAAGAAATGAAGGTATCTGCATGCAGTAGGAGTTAAAAAATTATTTTTTAATTACACGTTTAATGCCGTATAGTTCAACGGTGAATGATTCCCAATTTATTTATATCGCCGTGGACCACACAAACTTTCACTTGTTCATTCACTCGATATTCGCTCATTATTGCTTTCTGTCATACTCCTGTACATTTTTTTAGAATACGGGCCAACGAACTTCGTCTAAGCCATGGGCGCTTGGAAGTCGAACGTGTACTAATACCCATTTTGATGCTATCATAGTTCGCACATTTATTCCTTATGTTTATTTTTATATATTATACAAATTGCATGCCATAAATTGTAGAAGCCGTATGTATCATAGATTTTATATTCCAAAGTCAAAAATTCGCAATGCTGCAAATGAAGATAATAATATAAACTTTGTTAAGAAGATTTATCATTAAAATAATACGATTAGTAATAGTTGAAAAAATTCTAATAAATATGAATGTTACGTTAAAGCCAGTTAGTCCTGTATGACTAAGATTTGATAGAAGATATTAATTAATTTTTATAATATATATAAATGTAATATATATGTAATTAATATGTTATGTTTTTATACAAATACCGTTGGTGATGACAGATCTATAGCAGATATAAATTATTAACCATATAATCTAGGAACTGTAAAAGAACTGTACGAAAGGATCTCATACAATTTTACATAATAAGCAATCAATAGATAAAGACTTCGATGATCATTCTTACTGCTAAATTCTTATAAATTAGTTTTTTTCAGTAATGCATTCATATAGATTTTCTTGTACGTGCTAGATTTTTAATACCAATTAACTCTTTCTCTACGTACGACATAACGTCGGGAAATGTATTAATTTTCTTTTAATGAGATTTTTGATATTAGAATGAGCGAAATCTAACGACGTAAAACATCATTCATGAAATAGCAATATGACTATTCAATTAGTACTGTTATTTATTAACTTTACACAATAACATTCGACGCGATTGACCGTAAATTTATATTATAATGCCTCAATCAAGACCATTTTTTTAAAAAATATACGGTTCACAAAGTTATTTCATGTTCATTGTGATCGATACAATAGAATTTGTCTGTAAAAACAAGTTTCGTTTTGATTTATATATTTTACTTTTAGCAACTGAAGAATTAATGAAGTATTCCTATAAAAAAGTATGCGATATCATATAAATCTAAATGCTCAGTGGAAGAATGGCAAAGAGTGGGAGCAAGAGGAAGAAAGAGGAAAATAGTGAGGATGACGAGGTGGTTGAGAGAGATGAAGAGACTTATAGAGAAAAAGAGAAAGGAAGAGAAGGAGTACGATGTGAAATAGGAGAAAGAGGCAAAAGGAGGGATATTTATATTCGATTATTAGATCATAATTACTTCATATAATTTCCTCATAATCATCGGTTATGTGTGTTGTATCTATTACATTTGGAGCCTTGGCAGAACTAAAGAAAAATAAATGATGGTTTACTTTCTTACTTGTTATTTTATGCATTCTCTCTATCTCTCTCTTACACACACTCTTCAAAAAAGATCTACAAAGAAAATCATGCGAAAATGCAGTTCGATCGTATTTTTATCTACAAAGTTGAGTGAAGCAAAAAATTTTTGACTGAACTGTTGACATTCGGTACAGACGGATTTCAAACCGTCGAAGGTAATTGATGAAATTTCTTCAGCATTCGATCAAGGAGAAAGAAATTACATAATTAAAGTTATAGAACAGAATATATTGATTTCTGATTCTACATTATAGATCAAAAATTCGCGTCGCCAGAAGTGAAAGTACTGATTATTACTTCGCAAAGAAGATTTATCGTTAAATATATCGACCAGTAGCAATCAAAAGAATTAGAATAAAAACAAAATTTATTTTAATACCGATAAAATGTGTAAAATTAATATTAGGAGAAAGATACTTATTAAGATTATTTCACATTTTTTTGGAAAAACAATTTTTATTGTCTATTGTATACTCAATGATGTATGTGCTGTATTTATATACTGTATTGTATATATATATATATAGTATATATATATATATATATATATATATAGTATATATATATATATATACTATATATATGGTTGAAACTGAAGCATTGCTTCTATGAAGACAAATATAACAATTCTTCTTAAGTAGCATTCAATGAGCAATATTTATTTGTAACTAAATGGAACTTCACTTACGGTAATAACAATTGGATTGATTTCATCCAGAATATCTTGTTTGGAACATTTTCCCTTTCGTCGTGTTCGAATTATAGATGGAGGTATATTTCTTGATTTTTCCTGTGGCGGTTAACTTGATTTATTTGAAAAATACGAAGTATGATATTTGCTCAAAAATTATAATCAGGACCTATTGTTTATCAGTTACATTTAAAGACTTTCACAATATTAATAACACTTATTAATATGGACAAGAATAGAAAAAAAAAAGGAAAATTCTTAACAATTGAGTGCATTGTATAAGTCTGAAAGTTCCCGAAATGGCAAATATTTCGCATTCCTTTATGATAAAAAACAAACAATAAATGAAAAAGTACAATTGCAAAAAATATTTTTGAAAGAAATAATTTTTTGTATATTATCATAAGATATGATAAACAATAACATTGAAGTAATAATGGGGACACTTCTTTACGAAGTATTACAAATGAAACTAAACGATATCATACAAAGATAGACCGCAAAGTTAACAAATTTTGATGTAATCTAGAAAATTTATCCTCAAATGAAATCATATTCTGAAATAACAATTACAGCATATTTGCATGTGTATTTTTTGAATTTAGTGTAAAATTTAATATTAAAAATAGAAACATCTCATATTTTTCCATTAATGTTTCAAATTCATTTATACTGTGTACAAAAATTATGTACTCATATGTTAACAATATTTTTATTTTATTGGTAATAAAAAAATTCTCATTATAATATTTTCAAAATTTATGTAATGCTTTATGTATACTTTGATCATATGTTTAATAAGATTCTCTCTCTTTATTCTATTTTTCGAGTTAGTAAAAGAAATATTTAATGCAAGTGAAACAGTCAAAGTATCAACATTAATTCGACCATTGGAAAATTCTACCACGTAAAATATAAATGAAATCATTACCTGCATGTTGTTTATGACAATTATTTATCATTGCTGGAGCAACAACTAAAACGATCATGTATTACGTCGAATTAAACATAGAATATTTGGTTTATGTTAAGAAAAAGATTTGCTTAGTTATAAATTATCAAAGAACGCATTATATCGCCCTTCTCACACCGTAACCAGCGATGATACCCGAATCAAAAATTTGATCGAATTTTGCTTAATTCATCTTGTTCAACAATTTTTTTCTAACTTTCTCTCTCTCTCTCTCTCTCTCTCTCTCTCTCTCTCTCTTTCTTTCTCTCTCTCCCTCTCTTTCCTCGTTTTTTCTCCCGTATACGTCTCATAACAGTGGATTGACGCAGATAATATCGAATGGTTTCTCTTTTCGTAGATGTCCGTTATTGCGTCGTAGATGTCATACAAGGCAATTTTATCAAAATTTAATATGGAATACTTGACGTTCTTTCTCTTTCTTTTTTGCGATGATCGAAAATCGAAGAAGTTGCAACAGTGAAATTTCTTCAGAAAATATGAAAATCATGCTATCTAACTTATCTAATTTTAATAATGGTGTACATACGTTATCTATCGTAATGATTTATGTAGAATGCAACATAAAACGATAATCATTCCTGTAGAATATTTTTACTAAGAAAAAGATCATTACATCTAAATATATAATTCTTTGAAATCGACTGGTCGGCAAATCTAAATAAAGAAAGAGAGAGAAAGAGAGAGAGGTAGAGATAGAAAGAGAGAGAGAGAGAGAGAGAGAGATAGACAGACAGACAGACAGACAGACAGACAGACAGACAGACAGAGAAAGAGAGAGAGAGATAGAGAGAGCGAGAGAGAGAGAAAGCAGCCAAATTTTTATAATTACATTAATTCAAGACAAATTCTGACGATTAATAGGCACCACGTTCATATTCAGAGTTCTTGAGATGAAAACAACAAGATATCAATTATTGATACATAATTGTAAAAATTGTGATATGCTGATCATACATACATCCCTTTTCTTCTTGTTACTCTTACTTCATGTTACCCTTTCTCTCTGTATCACTTCATTATTTTCACAAGCTTTCTCTTTCTCCCGTTTTAACCCACTCTTTATCATTCTCCGATCGAGTCATTAGACTTGTTAATGATCTTATAGACACTTTTGCAGGATGGCTTCATTAATTCATCAGGTTTCTTGAAACGATTTCTCTAATCGGCTGTTAAAAAGTAAGGTATGTAAATAAGATGAAATCTTTTTTACAGACGGACTTTATCCGAATACCAAGAAATGTAGCAATGTAAGGTTAAATTATCGGCTAATAGTGATTCTTTAAGACTTGTTTTGATTTCTGTCCAAAGCGTGGTTTAGAATATAAGATCCATGGTTAATCCGGTTTCTATAATTTATGGCATATAATTTGTATAAAAATATAAAAATAAATATAAGGAATTAATGTACGAACTATGATAGCATCAGAATAAGTATTAATATAAGTATAAAAGTAATAAGTATTAATGCTAAATAATTAGCATCAGAATAAAGTATTAATCAGAATAAGTATTAATAAATTAATAAGGACCTGCGTCCTCCAAATGCCCTTGGCCTAAACGAAGTTTGTTGGCTCGTACTCCAAAAAAATGTACATGTGTATGACAGAAAGCAATAATGAGCGGTGAAAGAGAGCAAAATATTACATAACATAAAAAACACTAAACATGAGTGCGAGAAAGAACACCAGTTGTTTTATTTTCAGAATATCGTACATCGAATATCGAACGATGAAAATTTGTGAGGAAAAATAGATAAATTGAGTGCTGTTCACCGTTGAACTGTACAGCATTGAACGCGTAATTAAAAAATAATTTTTTAAAAGTACTTTGCACTTCTACCACCGTGGCTATTGATAACGACCGATTTGCACAGAGGATTTTTTCCTAATTATACATACAGTTCTTATACAGCTTTTCATATATATTGTTAATATTTCCAAAATCAGCGTTCACTATATAAGAAATCAACGTTCATGTATATAAGAAAATAGGAAATAATTGCTTTTAGCAAAATGGGCATTTTTTACAATTACTATTTTTTACGCCAAAATTGGAAATTAAAGTAGAAATATATATTCAAGTAACAAGCTAAAAGAAAAATTATTTTCGCAACATATTCGAATGATTTATGTCGTATTCGTCATTCCAATGAAAGTTATTAACAACCGATATTCAGTTATAGCATTTTTTTTGAAAATAAGAGAAGGAGACATAATTAATTTTTTCTACGAATCTCCTATCGAATAAGAATTCTTCTCTCCTAATCGAATAAGAATTTTATTATATAAACTCTGATCACGTGAACAATATTCGTATCATTTAAATATTCCTCGTTTTCCTTCTCCGTCCTCACTTTCTGCTAAGACACGAGGATAGTAAGAATTGTACTGTGCAAACGTAGTGTTCCTAAATCACAAAAATTATTACTACACTCGTTATACTAATTCTATTTTTATTAAGTTATTTCTATATCTTTCAAAAGCAGCAAATAATCATGAAGTTCACTGAAATTTTATCTATTATTACAATAGTTAAATTATTAACAGTTGACTTATTTTACAATATATTACAATATATTTTATGTAAATTACACCTGTATAATACAATCAAGAGGATCCCGGGTCCAAAAGCATACCCTATAATCGGAAATATTCATCTGTTTCTTGACGATAACGAAGGTATATTTGTAATGGATATATTTTATAGTTAAACAATTTACCCAATTTTCATTTATAATTTTTTTTTTTAGGTATAGCACAACGTTTTATTAATATTGGTTGGAATTATGAAACATTGTGGCGTATATGGATAGGCACTAAATTACTTGTAATTGTAAACAATCCAGAATATATCAAGGTAAGACCTATTAGTTTAATTTCAATCATCTTTAATAAATTTATATTTTTATATTCTTTTACAGAAGATATTAAATAATCCTAATATTATTGAGAAGAGCGAGGAGTATAAATACATGAAATCGTTTGCCGGCAATGGATTGATTTGTTCTCCAGGTGAAGTATACATATTATACTTTGTTTAATAATATCTTATTATTCATATTACAATCTATATATAGACACATATATATATACCCATTCGAATATTAACTTATGCAAAATTGAAGGATAAAATATTTTTTATTCTGAATAGGTATATACAAATGTATCATAAGCAAACGTACAGAATCTTCTCTCGTTCTTTCTCTCGATCTTTTTCTAAGGAGAAAAATAAGTATAAAACGTAAATTAAGTATTACTTTCCTTACGATTTGCAGCAAAAATCTGGAATCCTCATCGGAAAATATTAAATGAAGTCTTTCTTAAAAAATATCTAAACTCTCAAATGGATGTAATCGTTAATCATTCTGTCGTTTTAATGGAAAAATTGGAAACTTTAGTTGGAGAAGAAATAGACGTTTGCCATTACGTCTTTCGCTGTACATTAGACATAATATATGGTAACATTTCGAAATTTTATAAACGTTTACATTCGTTTTTAGGAATTTATAATATTTTTGTTACATTCCTTATTCAAAGATAGTCTACTTGATACTCAAGTAAATTCACTGACCGATGAGAATTGCAAACTAGATGAATCAATTCATTGGTAATACTACTAAATTTTATACTATATCAAATATTTTATTTTTCATTTATAATTCCTGTTTTGTTTTCTTCCTCAGTTTGATGAATATAACTGTGCAAAGGATATTTAAAATATGGTTACAACCGAATATAATTTTTCGTAATACTGCTATGGGGAAGAAATTTCACACATGTGCATCCTACCTGAATAACTATGCAAGCAATGTATATTTATGACATACATTTTGTTAATCCATCTTATTTCTTTTTAACAATCAAAAATTTAAGTATTATATTTTATTTATAAATATATATTATTTTTTGTTTGGAAAGATAATCAAAGAAAAAAAGGAATCCATGTTAAGAAGCATCATTAACCAGGAACTGAAAGAGGAAAATTCAGGTAAAAGTAATTATTATACACGCAACCCAATTTTACTTTTCGTTTATTTTTTAAATTAATAGAAAATCATTATTTATTTTTCAAGAACAAAGACCCAGGAGACTTTTAGACTATTTATTCGAGTCATCGCATGAAGGAAGAAAATATTCAGAGCAAGATATTAGAGACGAAATCAATACTATGGTTATTGCGGTAATTCATATTTATTACTCCGTTGCATTTATTACAAATTTTGTTGGTTGAATAAAATTGGAGAAAAGTGTTTATTTCTTTTCAGGGAAGTGATACTTCAGCTGTCACTATTAGCTTTGTCCTTCTAATGCTTGCTACATTTCCGCATATTCAAGTACGTACATATTACACATACTTAATTATTTCCATTATTTAAAAAACGCACATTATTTTTACATTATCATTTCATCATCTTTTTCAAAAAGAATGAAGTATACGACGAACTATACCAAATTTATGGCTCGAGCGATCCGAGATATGTTCCAATAACGCACGACGATATTGCAAGAATGAAACTTTTGGAACGAGTGATCAAAGAAACATTACGTCTTTATCCGCCAGGGCCAATCGTTGCTCGGAATGTTACGCAAGATATAGAAGGTACTTTAATATATAAAATAATAACTATTATATGTCTTTATCGTTAATAATACAGGTTATTTAATAGTAATATTTATATGTTATTTATATCAAGTGGAAAAAAATTTGACTATACCGAAAGGAAGTACCGCGGTGTTCTTCATCTATAAAACACATCGTAATGAAAAATATTGGCCACAGCCATTATTATTCGATCCGGATAGGTTTCTACCGGGTAGGAATAGTTCGGCATGTTTTTTTCCATTTAGCTACGGAAAAAGAAATTGCATAGGTAATTATTATGTAATTAAATATAAGCGTACGACTTATAAACAATAGAAATTACTTTCCGTAAAGTTATATAAAATGCATCTAAACATAGATTTCATATTTTTTAGGTCAAATATTCGCTATGCTAGAAATGAAGATAATAATTACGACCTTGATAAGAAGATTTATTATTAAAATAGATCAGCCAAAAGCAATTGAAGAAATTTCGATAAAAATGGATGTTACGTTAAAGCCAGCGAAACCTATAAGATTAAAATTTGAAAGAAGAAATTAATTAAAATGGGTAATATTTATAAATGTAACGCATGTATAATTAACATACATACATGACTAATTCTGTGCGCGATAGTAGATAATCTGCTGCATAAGTAAATTGTTAACTGTATAAATTAATTATTGTACAAATTCTATAAAAAGATCTCATTATTTCATGCAATTTTACATAATAAAAAACCATTGATAAAGACATTTAATATCATTCTTATTGCTCATACCAAAATTTCTATAAATTAGTTTTTATAAAGAATAGTAAAAATTCTAAAATGCATTCTTATAAATTCTTGTTATCAATTGATAACGATTTTTGATACCAATTAACTCTTTCTCAACGAAAGACATGCCACTATACGTCCTAAATTGTGCGGACAAATTATTAACATTCTCTTAATCGAGATTTGGATGATTGGAATGAGTGAAATATAATGATATAAATATAAATTTATATTATAATATCTCCGAGAAGACGTTTCGTTAAAAAATATACTGTCCATAAGATTATTTCATATTTATTGTCAACGAAACAACAGAATCCGTCTGTAAAAAAGATTTCTTCTTGTTTACATACATTACTTTATAACTGCTAATTAAAGAAATCGTTAAGAAGAAACCTGATGAATTAATGAAGTCTTCCTGTAAGAATGTGCACAACATCATCCAAATCTAATTGCTTAGTAGGAAAAGTGGAATAGAGCGGGAAAAGGAGAAATACTTAGATGATGAGAGAGCGACTGTGTGAGATGGCTGTAGTGATAGAGTGAGAGAGAGAGAGAGAGAGAGAGAGAGAGAGAGATAAAATAGGAATGACAAAAATATAGAGATGTACATATGACCAACATACCACAATTATGTACCAACGATTGATATCTAGTTGTTTTCCTTCTCAGGGGTTCTGGACATGAGCGTAATTCCTCTTATTCATGGAATCTTGTCTTGAAACAATGTAATTATGGAATGTTTGTATTCTTTCTCTCTCTCTCTCTCTCTCTCTCTCTCTCTCTCTACCCCTCTCTCTTAAATCAGAATACTTAGGTCGAATATATAAATTCTTCCATCAGACACGAATAGACAAGGTGACCACTGTATCTCTTTTTAATGGACCTATCCACATCTTACATGCTGCTATACAAAATACTTTTAGTATAGAAAAATATAATTACATATTGTCCAATTATCGAAACGAATCGAATGAAACAAACAAATGCACACATGCAATGGCATGATCGGGTCATGATTGAATTCAGGAATTTTAGATTGCTAAATGCTCTTCGAGCGAAAGTCGAAGAAAGCCTTAACAATGACTTATATATTCAACCATCTGTTTCAACAATTAACTGTCGCAAATAGCTGCTGTAAGCAATCTATCACAAAATTAGTACGCGACTGTTTCATTCAGAGTTTATCGACTCGTCCAGTTCAAAGAATTATAGGAAATGATCATCGTTTTATGTTGCATTCTACATAAATCATTATAATGTATAACGTATTTATACCATTATTAAAATCTGATAAATTGGTCAACATGATTTTTATGTTTTCTAAAGTATCTCCACATGTTCTATTTCAATGTTTCGATCATCGCAAGAAGGAAAGAGAAGAACGCTAAGCATTCGTTATTAGATAATGTTTAAATTTTCACGTGTGAAAGCTACGACGCAATAACCAAAATCCACAGAAAGAAAACTACTCGATATGTTCTGTGCCAATTGTCGGTGATTGTATGTTTAGTTATCTTGATACCATTGCTTTTTCTTCCTCTTATTTCTTATCTCCGTCATTCTATTTCTCTCTCATGCACTAACACACACAGCAGCAGATTAAATATTTTTGTTTGCCGAATAAAAATATTCGTACAAACTGGCCATTACACTGAAAATACGTTTATTCATCTGGTACAAGCCTAATGCATCGGTCATCATCTAGATTGTTTTCATTGGGTATTCGTGTTTATTAATTACACTTGTTCTAATAAGTAATTCTATTAGAAAATTTAATGAAAAATTTCAATAAGTGTGTCATCAATTAAAACCAATTCCGGATTGAAATATATCAAAATCATACAAATCGAAGGAACGTTTAGTGTCACTTTGCACGGCTATAAAATATAGTTTACGTTTTAGCAATTTTATTTCCTGTCTATATATTTTCATACCATTTCAGTCGAAGCAAGGACGCGTAAATATACATCTTTGATACTCAATTGAGTACTCTAACACAATGATAATGGAAAACTCGCATCCATTTATTTGCTTCGTAATTGTTTTTTTTTACTATAAAATAACCGAAAATTGGATACTAGTTCACTTTGAATATTCGCTAACAATCATATATTATTTAATGTAAATTTGGCATCAGGTTCATAGAATCAAAGGTAGCCGTAAATTTTATTATCAAAATCAATTCAGACGAATCATAAAAACGTCTATTGATTGATATACATATGCATGCACACGTAGATGAGAGTGAGAAAATGTATAACGATATATGAGGGAAGAACAAGGAAATTAGAGAGAAAAAATGACGGAGAGAGAGAGAAAGAGACATGTATGCCAAATGAAATATACAAAAGATAAGTGCTAGATAAAGGCGATGACGACAAAGATAACACACTGTCTCTTAGACAGAAAGTGAATAAAATTCCAAAAGAGTCAAAAAATTTATCTAAGAAAATATCGGTATATTAAAAGCGTATTCAAAATGACCGGTAAATGTTATATACAAAATTCTACATTTAATATCTCACATTCTTGTAGCTGAATAGAAGATATTTCGAAAATGTTACTAATTCACTACTTTCTTGCCCAAATCAAAGTTGATGGGCCGCTATATAGAAAAATCGACTGTGCAACTTTTATGCTCGAGTACCGGTTTTAATAGTAGTGCTGATATTACTGTAAAAGACAAATCTTATTAAAGGAAAAATAATTAGTGAAAAAATATTTTATTATAGTACTATGAAATATCATGAATTCAACTACATTTGCATATAATAAAATAGGGGTTCCATTAAAAATTTTTTTGGTTCCCTTGACTTATCTAATATATAAAATTTATTTGCATTTGTAGGAATTTAATATAATTTTATTACACTTTTTATCGAAAGATGATAATCAGGATGCGCATATATTGGGGTGTTCGGAAAGTAATTTCGTTTTTTCCCGACAGAGGATTTAATTGTATTTTGCATCAAACTTCACACTTAAGCCGCATAAACATTATACGTTTTGAAAGCTTATATAGTAAGGCTTGTGTGTGAAAAAGTCCAATTGATTCTAAGCAATAGTTTTTGGTTGGCTCCCCTTTTAAAAATGGGGAGCAATAAGCAGCATTTTCGTCATATTTTACTTTTTTACTACAGAAAAGGTAAAAATACTGTTCAAGCCAGAAAGAAATTAACCGATGTGTATGGAGAAGATGTGTTGACAGTACGCCAGTGCCAGAACTAATTTGCAAAATTTCGATCTGGCAATTTTGATGTCGAAGATGCACCACGCTCTAGAAGTCAGGTTGAAGCTGATAAAGACACGATAAAAGCATTAGTTGATGCAAACCGACGAATAACAACACGTGAGATCGGAGAGAGATTAAATTTATCAAATTAAACTGTTTATGACCACTAGGTTTAACCTCGAATCTCGATATATGGGTTCCCCATAATCATCTCACGGAGAGAAATTTGTGTCGTCGCGTTGACGTCTGTGATTCGCTTCTCAAACGTCACGAAAATGATCCATTTTTGGAGCGCATCATTAGTGGGGATGAAAAATGTGTTGTATATAACAATGTTAAACGCAAGCGATCATGGAGCAAAAAAGACGAACCGACTCAAAGCATTTCCAAAGCCAATATCCATAAAAAAAAACTGATGCTGTTTGTTTGGTGGGATTTTAAAGGAATCGTTTTATTTTAAGATTTTACCGGATAACAAAACAATTAATTCGGAAGTCTATTGTCATCAGCTGGACAAACTGAATGATGCACTTCAACAGAAAAGGTCAGAATTAATCAACAAAAAAGGTCAGAATTAATCATCACAAAAGATGTAGTGTTCCACCAAGATAATGCGAGACCTCATCTAAGTTTAGTCTCTCGCCAAAAGCATTTACAGCTTGAATGGGATACAATGCCACACTCACCATATTCTCCAGATCTGGCACCTTTGGATTATTATTTGTTCCGGTCACTGCAAAATTTTTGTAGACGGTAAAACCTTCACTTCAAATGAGGAGATCAAAAACCACCTCGATCAGTTTTTTGCCAGCAAAGACCAAAAATATAATGAACGTGGAATCATGCTACTACCAGAAAGATGGCAAAAGGAATTGGACCAGAATGGCCAACATATAATTTAATAAAATATTTGTTCATTATACAAAAATTGTCTTTCATTTTCACAAAAAAAAAAAACGAAATTACTTTCCGAACAACCCATTAAATTGACTGACAAATCCGAATTTCAAATTAGCTGGATCTATAAAACGGTAATAATGATATATCTTTTATATTCGTAATGTTCTGTATGTATTTATAATATTTTTTCTTTTCTCATTCAATGGGATGGATATAGTTGCCCAAAAGGAAATTCTGTAAATTCTAATCGTATAAACTCTATCGAAACGAAAAGTATTCGACCCAATTGTTACTATTCAATGCGGATAGATTTTTACCAAATATGCATATCAAATATCTTACTATTCAAAGCATATCAAAATTCTTACTATTTGGCTACGAGAGAAGAAATTCCACAAATAATTATAAAGTCTTGTATATTATTTTAATAGCATATCATAAATTTATAGAACAAAATACATTTACAATTCATTTTATTCTTTACTTAACATCAAAAATTCTCTATATCATTTAGACAGTATAAGAATCGATCGAGTTGGACTAAGAGTGAAATAGAGTCCGGTAGGATTGTGTTGTGATTTTAAGTTATAGTATCGAATTATAAATTCACCTTGCACCCAATTATTCTTGTTTGAC